ATATAAACTATAATAATGGCATTTATAATTTGTGTGTATATGTATGTATTTAAATAAACAGAATATACAGTTGCATACCACAATTATAGACCTCATTGGCCCTTTTAATTACAGTTAATTTAATTTCAAATTAGATTTTTCCGCCCCAAAATATAATTTTTCCCCCCCCCCCCCCCCCCCAACATACAGTAAATAGCAGGAGAAACTTCAATTATATAAAAAGTCCTCTTTTTACGTTAGATCAAATTCCAAAGAGTTTTGGAGGTCAAGATTGCCCCCTTCATCAGGTCTTGTTATAAAGTGGATTCTTGACATGCTGAGCAGATGCAGCTTCACCTCTGACTTATGCATGGGAAAATGTATAGAATATAGTTAGTGGCTGAACGACTGCGGGGCCAGAAGGTGCAATTGTTTTGCAGGTTTGTAAAGTTGGCCGAGGCTGAGATTGCAGCACCCGTTTGCACAAAGTAGCAAATCAGAAAGAACTGTTCCTGTACCACTGGACAATATAAATCTTCTGGCAGTTGGGATTTTTTTCAAGCCCTTCCACCAAAGTCATATCCACCAGGATTATTCAGTAAAGCAGAGAAAAGCAGGTCAAAAAACATTGCTGATGTGCAAAGAGTATTAACCTATAGAAATACTTGTAGATGCAACAAAAGATTTAAAAAATAAGGTGGAAACAGCATTTTATTTCAAAAGAAGGCAATTGTTTATGATGCGTTGTGCTGTGTCAGTCAGTTAGAGCTTACACTAACTGTGGCCCACGGGCTTGATGTGGCTGTTTGCTTGCCTTTAACCGGCCCTTGGGGCACTATTCCTCCCACTAACATGAACAATGGGGCACTATTCCTCCCGCTGACACAAACAATGGGGCACTATTACTCCCACTAACACCAACAATTGGGCACTATTCCTCCCACTAACACCAACAATTGGGCACTATTCCTCCCACTGATACCAACACTGGTGCACTATTCCTCCCACTAACACCAACAATTGGGCACTATTCCTGCCACTGATACCAACAATAGAGCACTATTCCTCCCACTGATACCAAAAATGGGGCACTATTCTTCCCACCAACAACAACAATTGGGCACTATTCCTCCCACTGATACCAATGATGGGTCACTACTGAGATCAGCCTTGGGGCATTTTTTTACTCCCCCAGACCTCCAAACCTAGGGCATTGTTGACGCTGTTCACTGACACGGGGCATTTTCTAATTTTACTAGCCACAATCTGGCCCACCTACCGTCTGAAGGACAATGAACCAGCCCTTTGCTTAGGTTTGAGGATCCCTGCTTTAAATTGACTTGAAAACAAGTCAGAGCAACTTTGGCCCTATGTATTTGTTACACATTATAGATTTCTGCAATCTGGCTACATGACTGCACATTTACATTCAGCTAAAGTAAACAGGACACATTATCACATTAAATGAAGGAAATGTGACTGAAACGCAGCTCCCAATGATGATGTACAGGCAGGTCATTAGCTGCCCTCCATCTTTCATGATTTAATCAACCCCATACTGCTACTTACATAATATTACTTCATTACTGTTTATCTGACTGAATTCCAAAACGCTACTACACAGCTAAAAAGGTCTTTAAACTGCATGGTCTGCTTTTTATTTTTTTACCATGATAGCTGTTTATTTTATCACAGATTGTTAAGGGCAGCAAAACTGAAAAAAAAGATATGGGAACATATAGTTTTAATGCTGTATTTGCATTTCCGTCCCAGCCAGTCAGTTCCGTAGCTTATATTACTATCTGTACCTTACAGGCAGATTATTGTGCTGACGACGAGTAATGTGTGCGGAACACAGAATGTACTTTAGCAATTGAATGTACTATAAAAAGGTATTCAGTCAAACATGTATGTTTGCCATCTAAAGGAAACTATAGTGTTTTTATATATTTAGTATGTTCAATGCTAAAATAAAATAGATACTTTAAAAATATTATTTTTTTAAATAAAATATTACATATTAATCTTTTTATTTTGCTATATGTAGCTAGCAGATGTGTTATCTCCATGCAACCGCTGTACTAAAAATTTACCCATCTGACAGACCCCTTCTAGCTGAAGCAGGAGTGTTAGTTAGGTCAGCTAGGTAGCCAAAAAACATGTTTGCAATGCTGGGCTTTCTTTTTAAAAAGCCCAACATGATTAACAGACTAAATGTAATTAAGGCAACATCTCTACACTTGTGCACTTCGAATAATAGTTACTCATCTTTAGGCCAACAACTATTGTATTCTTCCTTTAAATAGCATAAATAGATAGCACATGAATCTACATTCCATCCCAACATTGATCTTGTGGCAAAACATTTGTTTACTTACAAAATATGGCCACAATTTGTGGACACCTGACCATCACACATACTATATATCCAAAAGTGTTCGGACATCCCTCCAAATTTTGAGTTCAGGTGTTTCCAGACAAGGATACTGTTAATGCTACAGCATACATAAACATTTTAGAGAACTGTGCACTTCCTACATTGAGGCAAATGTTGGGTGAAGACACTTTTCTGTTCCATCATGACTATGCCCCTTTGCCAGGTCTCCTCCTCCAACATCAGCACCTGACCTCACAAATGCTGTTTTTGCTAAGAATCCCAAATACTATTGAATCTTGTGTAAATCTTCCCAGAAGAGTGAAGGGTGTTATAGCCACAAATGGGGGCTATCTTCATATTAATGCCTATGGTTTTGGGTGTCCAACCTGCTCATATAGGTGTGATGACCAGCTGTCCACAACCATTTGACGATATACTGTAGCTTCCTGCCCTCTTGCATGGCATCCTCTGCCTCCTTCCTCTCCTGTTTTTTAGTGTTGGCATTAGCTAACCATATGGTCTGCAGCAGTACTGAGGAAGTGGTGGGAAGAATGGTGCTGGACAAGATTAAAGAGACAGCCCTAGTTTTCCTTATGGGCTTTTACAGTGCACATGGAGATTGGAAAATAAGCACTCTTTCTGTAGTAGCCACTCAGGTGTTGCATGAGCAGGGCAATAGACCTTAGACACCATGTAACCTTCTCACAGTCCTTTGTCAATTTGGAAAGGGAGATGGAGTCACACTGCTCTTCAAACCCCCATTGCTGGACATATAAGTATCCATAGGATCATTTAATATAACAGTAATTTTGATAAAAGAATAGAATCTTTCAGGAAGCGATTACACTAAACGATCAGCTCAATCCATAAATGATTATTTTAAACAAAAACTACTGGTAGAAAATCTAACTGAGTTTGAGCTAATCAATCCTTTTTATCCTTGTATTGAAGAGTTGTTTTTATTTTTTATCAATCTGGAAAGTGCTGACAGATCCCCTTTGAATAAAACAAGGACAAACATATGTGAATGTGTAAATATAGAGTATATACAATTGCCATTTTAACTGGCTTTTAGGTGAATAGGCAAACTGCATTTTGCTTAATGTACTGAACAGAAGATAAATTAAGAATACACATGCTGTATGGTATGTAGTCTAATAACAGCTCACTCCTCCCCTCTATGGGAACCACTTTATATTATAGTTTTCCAGTGGCTTTATCAACCTCCTCATTCTTCTCTTTATTTATTTGTTATACTTTATCATTGCCCCGAGTGAGGCTAACAGGACGTAGGCTCCTGAAGCCTGAAGAGTAAACATTATCAGGGTTATTCACAAAAGGGTGAAGTGTTTGGAGAAGGCAGGGGAAGTGAACAATCTAGGGCAACATACCTGAACTGGAAAGTTAGCTGAATTGGAGAATTTCTCCAAATCAGCTATGTTGGCCTATATTGTTCACTTCTCCTGCCTTCTCCAAACCCTTCACCCTTTTGTGAATAGCCCTGTATAACTTCAGCTGTTTTGTAATCTACAGTAGAAATATACAGAGTAAGGTATTACATTTTGCCTACACATCTTTGTTTACAGCATACCTTAGGAATTAGCTTCATATCCTTTTCTTTATTTAATTCTTTTTGTTGTTTTCAATGCCTTTAATTCCTCTCTTAACTAGAAGAATTCCAACTAGAATCTTATTGGTTAATTTAAACAAAACAAGCAGTTTCCTGTATTTTGCATACACAATCTAGACTGGCCTTCCTCAACCATTGTTCTGCGGAATCCTAGTGTTTCCCCAGAAGTGGCTACGGGTTCATTGAGCAATGAACAATTTCCAGATCTCCATTAAGTAACCACTCACACCAATGATCCTGTAAAGGGGCATTTTCACACCAACTCTCCCAATGATCACCAATCTAAGGGGGCCTATTTCTACTGACCACCAGTCATCACTTCAATGACCACCAAAGTAAGTGATCACTTCACTGGCCACCAATGTAAGTCATCGCTTCAATGACCACTAATGTAAGTCATCACTTCACTGTCCAAGGGAACATTGCAAGTTTTACTGTGTGCATTTTTTTTTCTGGCCATGTTTGATTCATTTTATTAATTTTACTAAAAGTAATTTTGCTGTACAAAGCAGACTCAGGTGTCAAATACACTTAGTAGACTACATTCCTTTATTGTTTTATTTATTCTTACTGTTACTTTCTAACTGTTCATGCTAATATACCATGAGCTACCAATACAGTCATTATAAGCAGGATTCTTACTTCAGGGTTCCTCCATGTTAAATGGGTTGAGAAAGGCTGATCTAGACCCTTGTCTTGTATTTTTCTAGTTAAAAATGGCTGTTTACTTACAGGGAAAGGATTTATTAATTTTACATTTACAGGCCATTGATATAAAGAAATAATAACAGATATACATCTCAATATGTAATTGATGCTGCGTACCCACTTTAGATTCCCACCAAGTATTTTATCATTTATGTGACCTATCAGGGTTGGTTAATTCTTCAAATGTCAAATTGTTTTATATATTTTGATACAGCTTTTGTTCTTTCTCATTTTTCTGGCTCACTTCCCATTCTGTTAAATTGAATCATGAGAATAGCTAACTGTAATTTTGTGTTTGCATTGCAGATAATTAGCACCATGGAACCTCAGGTGTCGAATGGCCCAACTTCCAATACGAGCAATGGACCATCCAGTAACAGTAGGAACTGTCCTTCACCTATGCAGACTGGGGCAGCTACAGATGACAGCAAAACTAACCTCATAGTCAACTACTTGCCACAAAACATGACACAGGAAGAGTTTAGGAGTCTGTTCGGGAGCATCGGGGAGATAGAATCCTGCAAACTGGTGCGGGACAAAATCACAGGTACATGTATGCCATTTGCTGATAAATGTCTCCAGGGTGTCTGCAGTCACAAGATCCTATTTAAGTCTATGGCAGTTTATTGTTTGCTGCCTGTGTCCAGTTGGGCAGATTTCCTTTCACTTACCATCCCAGAGACACATTGAAAGATTTCTCCTCCTGTTCTAGTGCCAGCTGTAAGTTTTCACATTTCCCTTAACTTTCTTGCTCAGTGACATTGGTCACCAGGGCATTTAAAGAGGTTCAGTATCCCCAGTGGGAACAAGGACTAGCAATAAAAACTTGACAAAGGTTCTAAGGGCCATGGCACGCTGGCCCTCCTGTGCTAGACTAACTGTTGCCTTCAACAGCATCGCTAGGCAGCATAGAAGAAATACTCATTTGTTTCCAGGTCACTTGGTTGCTGGCAGGATGACAGGTGTCACCCCATCGTTACCAGGAACTCTGCAGAATGTCAGTTGACACATACAGCCATATTTTTCTACCTTGGATAGCGATCCTGTTGCTGGCAAATTGTCGCCTGCTAGTGTGCCATGGCACTAACCCTTCCTTACTCTATTCATAACTAAAAAAATATGTATATACATACACTTTATTCCCAAAAAAAAAGCATTTTGCCTTTCAAGTACAAAGCAAAGCCCTTATTTTTAATAAAATGGGCCAATTGCATCTTACAATTTCATTTTCACGTTGGTGGTTAATCAATCATCCAAGCGTACCTTTTCTCTCACTTTACCAACCTACCAAAGGTTCCAACCCTTTTATTATTTAAAGTGCTTCTATTGCTGCCTGTGTCTGTTGTAGAGATTCTTCACACTTCCTGTCATAGTAGCAGAGAAGGAAGTGGAGGGAAAGCTCCAACACGGTGACCCAGACATTAATAACTTGGCACAGGCCCTTCTCTGCCATATCCAAAATAACAAGACAATGTATTAGCTTTGAGTTCTACTCTATCCACTTCATTATAGCTCAAAGAGCATGCAAGTCATAAAAATATGCGTATGGCCATCAAGTGGGAGGGTTGTTTTGGGCATCTTTGGCTCCTGTGGCTTGTTATGAGGGTGTCACAGGACAGCTGTGGTCTCTATCAGCCAAAAGCAAGTCATTGTACGTCCAGTAATCACTGTAACAGACAATCAAAATGGGCACAGTAAAAAAAATAATAATAATAATAATTTTTGCAAGTAAGTAATAAATTAATGATCATGTCCCTATGTCTAGCTTCACTCCCATTTTTTTAATGAAATCAAGCCTATGAAAATGAAAATATTTTCTCCTTTTTTTATTATAGTGATGGAAAATAAGTTGCACCTCATTTCGTGTAATCAAAAACTGTGCAAGGATGTAATTTTGTCATAGTTTTGTCGTTTTTACTTTAGAATTAAAAGAATAAGATGAAAGAGATGCTTATCTATATATGGTAGAATTGAAAGAATTAGATGTCTATCTATATATGGTACTAGGAACATCCTAATATTCATACAACATTTCTTTAGACATTCCAAAAACCTTTTCCAAATTACCAAAAAGGATTAAAAAAACTGCAGTTTGGCCTTAAAAGACACTTCCAAATCCTGAAAATGTATCTGGTTGTATGGTTGTAGAATGGATAGCTATAAAATATTTAAGCTGCAAATGCTTCTAGGAAAAGTTAGGGAAAAACTGTCCCATTTTTATGATAACCCCAGTGATCTTCAGTAAGGTAATAAACAGATTTTGCACTTTGGCCATCTCTAGTCTCTTCACTCAGTGTATTTTTTGCATGTTTTTTTTAATGCATAGTAGGGGGAGGGGGGG